TCTTAAATGCTCCTCATGTTCTACTTCACTTCTAGAATACACCAGTATATCATCAATGAATACAACTACAAACCGGTCCAAATAAGGTCGAAACACTCTATGCATCAGATCCATAAAAGCAGCAGGGGCATTAGTTAACCCGAATGACATCACTAAAAACTCATAGTGCCCATATCGAGTACGGAAAGCAGTTTTCGGAATATCCGAATCTTTCACTTTGAGTTGATAATAACCAGATCGTAAGTCTATCTTTGAAAAGATAGAAGCCCCTCGAAATTGGTCAAATAGATCGTCGATTCTGGGCAGAGGATATTTGTTTTTCACCGTGAGCTTGTTCAGTTTCCTATAATCGATACAGAGTCTCAACGTCCCATCTTTCTTCTTGACAAAGAGAACTGGGGCTCCCCACGGTGATACACTAGGTCGAATAAATCCCCTGTCCAACAACTCCTGAAGTTGAACTTTCAGTTCCTTAAGCTCCTTTGGGGCCATACGATAAGGAGCCATTGAAATCGGGGTGGAACCAGAATAGACTTCAATCACAAACTCGACTTCTCTATCAGGAGGTAATCCAGGCAACTCCTCGGGAAAAACATCAGAAAATTCCTTGACAATTCGGATGCTTTCAATATCGGATTGCGATCTCCTAGTGTCCAAAATATAAGCAAGAAACGCCTCGGAACCCTTCCTGATCATCTTCTCCGCTACCAAGGCAGACACAACATTCGTCAGAAATCCCCGTCGTTCCCCAATCATTACAATCTTTCGATTATCTGGGGTCTTCAGAACAGCTCTCTTAGTCTCAAAATCAATATTTACTCGATGTTTGTCCAACCAATCTACGCCAAGAATCAAATCGAACTCTTCAAAGGGTAACTCCATCAGGTCAGCCAGAAAAATCTCCCCATTGATCTCTATAGGGCACTCTCTAAAAATACGATCCAACACAATAGATTGACCTAAGGGACTTTGAACTATCACTGAACGCTCAGTATTCTTAACAGGAATATTTAGACCCTCAGAAATGGAATGTGATACATAGGAATTTGTAGAGCCACTATCAAACAATGCAAAGTATGGAACTGAATGAATAGTAACAGTACCTGCAGTCACATCAGGCCCATCTCGATCTTGTCGAAGTCTAGCAGTGTAAACCAATGCAGGTTGTCTGGCTTCAGATCTGATTGGACCCCTACTCTGAGATGCTCGGCCTCTATTAGCCGATCCAGGTGCTCTCTCCTGAGTACGACCACCTACAGGAGTCTGAACAGTACTCTGAGTACGAGCGGGAGTACGAGCTGGCGTCTGAACTGTAGTAACTGATAATGGACAATCCCTTATAAAATGGTCACCAGAACCACATTTAAAACAGGTACCAAATTTTCTCCTGCATTCCCCAGGATGAGGTTTTCCACAATAATTACATGGCTGCGAACCAGAATCAACAGGTCTAGAAGATTGAATAGCTGAAGAACTGGATGCTACAGGCCTGGCACTTGCACTACCTCTCTGAAAAGATTCACCCCTGCCCCTCTTGCTAGGATGTGCAGAAGAATTAACAGAACCAGAAGGCCTCCTGAATCGGGTTTGAGCTCGATCACTATCTCTCCGATGCTCCATACCCAGTCGCTCTATTTCCTCAGCAGTCTTGGCTATCTCAACCAAAGCATCAAAATTCCTCTCTCGGTGAGTAGCGACTCGACTCCTGATTTCATACCTGAGTCCATTCTCGAACCTCAAGCATCGATCTGTCTCAGTATCCACAAGTCCAGGAGCATATCGGCTCAATCGGATGAATTCAACCTCATAATCCATAACAGACATATTACCCTGCTCCAGATTTTGAAACTCCTGGCGTCGCTCCTGCAGATATCTCTCTCCGATGTAGCGACTTCGGAAGCGCGTCTTGAAAAGATCCCATGTTAATTGGTTCCTCGGAATACTACCAGAAATGGATTGCCACCATCTGAAGCTTTCTTGCTTCAACATAGTTAGGGCCCCCTTTAACTTTTGCTCAGGTCTGAGGTCCATCTCATCCATAATCCTTTCTGTGTCCTCCAGCCAATACTCAGCGTCTGTCGGAGGTCCACCAGTAATACCCTCGAATGGTACTACACCAGCAGCAACCAGAGAATTTGAAATCTCCAATGCAGTCATGTTACTAGGGGCTCTAGCAGCTCTCTGAAACATGCGGAAGATAGCTCTATTAATGGCGTCTTCATTCATCTCAGAATCCTCATCTTCAGTGATGGGAGGGTCTCTCATAGGAGTAAACTGATCATCATGAGAAAGAGTCGGATCTACTTGCGGAACAGGAGGATCACGTGCTGACATCGGATCTTCTATCGTAACAGAAGGTCGAGTGACTCGCCCTCTACCACGTCCACGTCCTGTCCTACGACCTCTAGCAGTATTCATCGTTGGATCTATAAGGCTCTACAGAAGAATTTGAAACATATGTCAGATTAGCATCAGGGATCTCGATAAAACTTTAAATCATAACATAAGGTGACATTTTTTTTTATTTCTTAAAAATTCAAAGTTTAGGACCCATATACAGTCCGAGTGTTTAAAACCGAAAGCTCTGATACCACCAAATGTAACCCCCTAGACCTGGTCTGTGAGTTAGACCCAAACCTAAGTGGTCACATATCCCATTCAGAGGTTTTTTTTTTCCACTTATAGGACGATAAATATAATATAGAACATAATATTAATAATACAAATATGTCCAAAACGATAATAAAATACATGTCACCAAACATAACCAAAAAAAAACATATAGAAATATATGTTCGTACAAAATAAAGTAGTTGATTTCTCCTGATGCCAAATCTGCTAGCTTACGGTCTGCTGTTATCTGAAAAATGTTAAAATTTACAGAATGAGCTAAAAAGCCCAGTGTGTTCCATACAGTGTATATAAAAACATACTGATAAAAATATTCCAGTAAAGTCGGTTTATGCAATCATGTCGTAAAAAAAATATGAACACTACCCCCAGCCCATCACAACAGAATGTGTAGGTTCCCCAGAACCATACACCCAGCCCACACAACAAATAAGGCCCTGAGCACAAAGCCGAGGAACCTACGGATATACTTCCTTCAACGATACCCCCCAATGATGGAGATGTTCATGAATGTATTTGAATGAAAACAATGATTAAATCTTTAAAACATAAAAGTGTTCATGCTTAACAATAATATACAGAAATACGGAAATCAGAAGACAAGTCAGTAGTATACAGAATTTCAGATATCGAATATTCAATATTCAGAAGATCGGTATAAAATACCGTAACCAGAATTCATTTCAGAAATATGTGGCAAATCAGATGTCATATACATAATGTTCAGATGTATATTTTAAAACAGAAATAATTAACACTGTCGGGAAACACACCTGTAACAGTCTGAGAAATCAGATAGGGAAGCCTATTGTTGGGTCTGTCGATCACGTTCTGCTGCAGCGCTAGATCCTACGAATTGGAAAAATCCATATTGGAATCCTAATATAAATAATCTAAATATTATTTAAATAATATACAGAAACCTACGGGTAATTCTCGTAGTACGCGGTTCAGGCTGATCTAACGAACGGATAATACCGGACCTAATTGATCCTTGTTCAGGTGAAACACGAGTACCTTCATAAAATATTTTATTGAATAAATCCTTTACCAAATCTCGTTTAAATAATCAAAATATTAAAATATTAAGCCTTTTGGGTTTACAAGCTCGATTCGGGAATTTCGGGTCAGAATTTGGCAAAACGGACTTCGGAATCAAATTCAGGACGTCGAAAAATATAAAGTATGACCTTCCGAAATTTCGAATTCTTGGTCAAAATTAAAGTCAACGGGGTTGACTGACGATTTGGAGACTTTCGGGTTTGAATTTAGCAAAACGGACCCCAAAAACGGATTCGGAACGTCGAAAACTATCAGGATAGGTATTCTTGGTCAAAAACAAAGGTCGTCTAATAGCTGGTCAAAGCCGGTCAAAGTTCTGGTCAAAGGAGGTCAACAAACTGTCAAACATTTTACACAAATAGCACCTTTTAAAAAAATTACCAAAATAGCACCCATTTCGAATTAATTCCCAGAATAGCACCAAAATCGAATTAATTCCCAGAATAGCACCGGTCAACGGGTCGGGTCGGGTCAACGGGTCGGGTAAACGGGTAAACGGATCGTGACCGGTCAAACCGGTCAAAACCGGTTCAAAACCGGTTAAACCGGTCAAAACCGGTTTCCAGCGTTCACTCGCCTGCGGCGGCGCGTGTGGGCGCGTGCGACGTCCTCCGGGGCTCTAAAAATCACGGAAAAATTTCTAAAAATTATTTTGAGCGATTTTGAGATACTTACAAAGATCGGTTCAAATTTTTGAACGGCGGAGAGCTCGATTTCGACTCGGCCGAATCTTTGACTGATCCACCTCCCCACGCGCCGCCGTCAACGGAGATCGAGGATGACACCGGCGGACTCGGAACGGCACAAGGAACACGATGGTGCGGGAGGTGTCGTAAAAGGAGCAACGATCGACGATGAATTTAGGATTTTCTAGGCGATTGAGCTTAAAAAAAACGTCGATGCTTTGACTTGAAATTCACGACGTTTGGCAGCGTTTCGCTTCAATTAAATTGAGGGGATTGTTCCTGACTCGATAACGAACACGATGGTACTTTCAAAACGACGATCGGAATTCGGACGGTGTCAGAATCGTCGTCGGAAGTTGAGGTGCGTGGGGTAAAAACTTAGCAAATTGTTCTGGTATGAAACCAGAATCAATTTGCACGCATATAAGAAGAAGAACAATCTGCCGACACTCCTTGGCATTATTCAGTGATTGGTCACTGAATTTCCTCCACTTTTTAAAACATGCTACAAGTTTTAAAAACTTCCAATTAAATCCTCAAATTTCACCAATTAACTTAATTAAAACCTCAATTCCCAATTAAATATTATTTTAAAATTTTCGGGTTGTTACATAAACTCAGTGAACGCGTTTTTGTTTTAATTTAGGTTAAGGAAAATGGGGAGTGAAGCAGGGATTGTGAGGAAACCAAGATTTCTCGGCCTTCATGGATTTAGAACAAGCGGAGCGATTCTCAAGAAACAAATAGAGACCAAATGGCCTAAATCGGTATTGGAAAAGATCGATATTGTTTACCCAGATGCGCCTTTTCCAGCTCAGGGGAAATCCGATGTCGAAGGGATCTTCGATCCTCCTTATTACGAGTGGTTTCAGTTCAATAAGGTAAAAATCAAATAACCATCGCACGTTTCTCCCCTTTAATTTGTTATTAATTCCGTTCGTTTCTTTCTTTCTTTCAAATCAATGCAAACATCAAACATGGGTTTACCTTTCTGTTTCTGATCTGTTTTATGTTTTAGGAATTTACAACTTACACAAATTTTGACGAATGTCTTGCTTATATCGAAGATATTATAGTTAAACAAGGACCTTTCGATGGTCTCCTCGGTTTTTCACAGGTTTGTTCTGTTTGGTTGCCGAGAATTTTAAGGGATCCTTTTTATGTTCAGTTTATTTTCTATTCATCCAAACAACATTTTTAAACTATTTGGATAACCATCCAGGGAGCCATCTTGTCGGGCGGTTTGCCTGGATTACAGGCGAAGGTGCGTTGCTTTATGTTTTTCAATTTTATTTTATACTTGTTTTTGGCCCGTGAATAACGTGTGTGGATTTTGGCCGTAATGCAGGGTGTGGGTCTTACGAAAGTTTCCAAAATAAAGTATCTGATAATAATTGGAGGGGCTAAATTCAGGAACGAATCAGTGGCAGAAAAGTCTTATTCTTCTCCAATTCGATGCCCATCAGTTCACTTTTTAGGTATTATAAACGCCCATCAAATTCTCTTATATTTTTCAGTCGTTTATTTCCCAAAACTCTGCATATTTGGTTCGACTAAACAAATAAGAGTTGTGAAAATAATTTTTCTAGTCGCAGTGCACTAAATCATAATCCTTTAACAATATTTTACGAACTTTACATCAATATATTATTAATCAGGCTTTGTTAAAAGATAGGTTTTTTTTACCATCACATATTCTTTGAAAAAATATATAAGATTCAAATTATGACTTGAATGAAATAAATTAAATTAAGATGATCACCGTCCTAATAGTTGTACCCGATTTGGACTTGGCCTTGGTTTAGTTTTTTGACCAAGGTAGACCAAATAGAAAATATATAGTTGAAATTATATATTTTATTTAAATTTAACTATAAAATATATAAATATTAATATAAAATTATATTTTGATTGTTTTAATCGAGCCTTGGCCCAACTTGGCACGTAAACATCTCTAACAGTATTCGGTTTACATTTGAATTTGAATTGAATTTATATCAATAAATCAAATATCGATAATTGTATTAAAAAATATAAGACTTCCAATAAATTATAGTTTTTATTATTATTAGTTATACCATCCTATTATGTTATCCAGCCTAATTTTAACCTAATTTTCATAAATCCAAACCTGACAAGATTTTGTGGTAACCTATTATATTACATTGCATTTGTCTTGTTTCTCAATCTGAAAATCTGTTTATATGAATGCAGGAGAGAATGATTTCCTGAAACCTTATGGATTGGAGCTGTTGGAATCCTTTGTGGATCCTGTTGTGATTTGGCATCCAAAGGGCCACACTATTCCCAGATTTGGTAGCTTTACATATTTCTATTTTCTTCCAATATTGTTCTTAAAATATACAGATAAAAAGACATGGCGTTTTAAATACGGTAGAATTATATGAAAAAATTAGAAAAATGACTTTGAATTCTCGCCTTCGAATTCGAGTAATACAGTGTTAATTTATAATTTATGTGAAACTGATTGTTCCTTTAGGGTAACACTTGCATTGATTACCGCTTACCAAAGAATCTCATTCCTTAATTTTGTTTAATAAAATTTCAGATGAGGAGGGATTAGGGATGATGCTGAGCTTCCTGCGGAGGATTGAACAAGATATTTTGTCTGAAAATCAAGAAGAAGAGATTGTGGTGGAAGCATAATGTAGTTGGGGAAACAAAAACTTGTTATTTCAAATGCCCATCTGAGTTTCTAGTTCTGTAAGATGGTTATACAAATAGGATATACATGACCATCAAGATTAGATTAAGAGTAGTTTCGATGATTAAAAAATATTCTTTTTTATTGTTTTGAATTTGAATATTTTTATTTATAAGTTATGTATACTTTATCAATAATAAAGAAAGAAAGAAAATACAACAATAAGATTAGTTTTAGAACTTTCTTGTTCTATACAATGTCACCGTTGAGTTTTATATATTCTCACAAAGATGCTTAGTGGGCATCTCAATTTGTATGTTTCAAGGGTATTTTCAACAAGTTTTTTTAAAATTTTCTATCTATCGTTTATCATTTTTTTCTCAGATTTTTGATTGACTTTATATCATCTTATAATTATTTATAAAATCATTTGTTTATTATTTTATTATGATGTCACATAAAATTTTATTTGAGTATCTTATTATATTATATACAAAATAAAATATTCAAATATTTATATCACTAGTTTTATAATTAATTCCCAATAAATAATTACCGCTAATTTAAATAGAATTATATCAACCGAATGTAAGAGTAATTTATCTTTACCGACCCATACCCAAACAAAATAATAATAATAATTCCACAATAACTTGATAATTAGATTTTTCATAAGGCCTATTGTTATTTTTACTTTTAAAGTTCAACCAAAAAAAATTAATTGATCTTTAAATTTTATTATCTTGTAAATTCATTCTTCTCCAAATTAAATTGATAAAAATTTAAGTCTGAAAAAATTAAAAGATAATATTTTAAAAATTAAAATGATTTTTTAAAATCCAGAACAAAAATACCATTAAAATCTTTTTATAATTCATATATTTAAATAAAAATTGTTATTAAATACACATGTAATTTTTTTATATTTATGGATAAAGTACACAAATGGTCCCTTAACTATAGGGTATTATTTTCTTGAGTCCCCCAACTATTAAAAATTATAAAATGACCACCTGACTATTCATGTGTTTCAAACTTGTCATTTTTTCCGTTAAAAATTTAACGATCGTATGAGCTAGACGTTAACCTGTTAACTAAGATATGATAAAATTATATTTTAATGATGTTTTACTGGCATCACTGTTGCTTTCAAGCATTGGCTCGACGGCATAATATAAATAGAGATTTGATCCATAAAATACAATTCAAACAATTTTGGAATCAAATTTTTATCATATCTCATTGAGCAAGTTAACTTCAGCTCAGACTACCGCTAATTGTTTGACAGAAAATGACGAGTTTGGAACATATGAATAGTCGAATGATTATTTTGTAACTTTTAATAGTCATATGACTCGACAAAATAATAGCTTATAGTAAGGTAATCATTTCGTAACTTTCAATAATTAAATGACTCAGTAAAACAATCTCCTAAACTTATGGGTCGTTTTATACTTTACCTTATATTTGTTCTTTAAAAAATGAGATTGAGATGATATAATGTCTCATTTTTTTTAATATTAACATATTTTTAACTCGTAAATTTATTCTTTACGATTAGTATATTGATCATTAAACTTTAAATTAATCAAAATATTATTTTTACTACTCAAAATTTTTTATTGTTGTTGTTATTTATCTAACTGGCAAAATGACTGAGATATTGTGAATTGAACAGTACCAACCTAAAGAATCTCGGTCCTCCACGAGTCTTCAAGCTAGTTATGAAGACTTACGACTGCATGACATCTTCAAGCAAATAAAGAAGACTTTATGATTGCATGATGTCTTTAGATAAATTGAGAGTGTATGGTGTTTTCAAACCAATAAAAATCATAATTTATAAAGTAATACAATGAATACATTATATGAAAAAATAATTTTCTTACAACCATACATGGGCGAGGAAGCCCTAACTAACTGGTAAGGCGTAAATAAAAAACATATGATGCTAAAATAAAAATAAACAACAATAAGAAGAGTGTTGGGCAATAGTAGAAAAATGATATGCTCGCTTCTCAGCCAAGCGCCACTCTCTCTCGCATATTATAAGAGCTTTCCTTCCACTTATAAAATCAAACCATCGGCTCCTCTCAACCGCTTCTCTCCGGTTAGACCTTGTCATTTCCTCCATCTTTTTAACTATCCTTCCTCTCAGTTCATCTAGTTTAAAGCTTAGTTTGTTTTGACTTACAGGGTTTTCTGTCTCCGATTTCGACCCCTGCAATACGAGTGTTTTGTTCGAAACCCGATGAAGTGGGATCAATGGCTTCTTCGGTTCAAAATCAGGGTTCTATTTCGTACCTCACGCAACGAAAAGCTGCTGAGGTTGATGAGATTCTCATGGGTCCTCTTGGGTTTAGTGTTGATCAGCTTATGGTTAGTTAAGCGGTTTTTGTTTTCTTAAATTTACGTTGTGTCAGTTTCTATTTATTTCCTTTGGGTTTTTGTTCCAGGAATTGGCTGGTTTAAGCGTTGCCACATCGATTGCTGAGGTAATGGCTACTGCCATTATTTTCATTTAGTTTATGGAATTTTGCTGGTTTATGTATGCTAATTGAATTCATACAAAATTCAAAAGTTTTTAAATTTATCCAAGTTTGCTGAGCATGTTTCCGGTCTGACATTGAACTGATTTCTCCTAGGATGTCAAATACTCAAATTTTTATTGTTCAGTTGACATGACATTGAATTGGTTTCTTCTCCTAGGATGTATTAATCAAATATTTATTGTTCAGTGACAATTTTGCTCAAGGTTATGTAAGTTTATACCTTTTTTCCAGCGTGCAGTTGTGAAAGGAGCTTTTTCTTGTTGCAGGTTTATAAACCGAATGAGTATAATCGTGTTCTTGCTATTTGTGGTCCGGGAAACAATGGAGGTGATGGTCTGGTTGCTGCTCGTCATTTGTATCACTTTGGGTATAAGCCGTTTGTATGTTATCCTAAGCGAACTCAGAAACCCCTTTACTCTGGTCTTGTTACTCAGGTATGATACTAGGTTTCTGGTTGTAACGTTATTGAACATTGAACAATATGGTTTATCTGAGCTGTTATTCGATCTGATGGTTCCGTAGCTGGAAACTCTGCCAATCCCTTTCCTGTCGGTTGATGAGCTGCCTGTGGACTTGTCAAAGGACTTCGACATTCTCATAGATGCTATGTTCGGCTTTTCTTTTCATGGTAAATACTTACTAGTTATACTTTTTTTCTTTTATATATTTCTTTCAACTTCATGTTTATATATGTTATGCCACAACAATATGTTGATTTCATGCTACTATGATTCTCCTATTCGTCCCAATTGGTTTTATATTGTAGTTTGAGATTTTATTTCTTGTACTTTCACATTTTTATTTAGTGCAAAAATAATCTGTACATATCTCAATTTTCTTTAATAAACAAACCTATACAATCTATGCTCCTGTCCGTAACACTTATTTTCAGTGGTGCTATCAGATCACATCATTTTTTGTTTATCTTATATGTGTGTGTATCATTTCATAATTCTAGGTAGATTTTTAATAAATTGCATATTTCATCATCTTAATTCATCATTTTTAATCTTTCAGGAGCACCGAGGCCACCTTTCGACGATCTGATCCAGAAGCTGGTTAACTTACATAATTATGAACAAGTGCAACAAAAGTCCCCTGTTATTGTGTCTGTAGATATTCCATCCGGGTGGCATGTCGAAAAAGGTGATGGTGGTGGTGAAGGAATTAAACCCGACATGTTGGTATGTCTTTTTGGCTGCCTTAGACTCTTCAAAAACTTATTCTTGTTTAAACTCATACTTAGGCATCCCTTTATTATTAAATATCTAACTACAATTATCTAATGTCAAAGGTTTCTCTGACTGCTCCAAAACTATGTGCAAAGAAATTTTCTGGACCTCATCACTTTCTAGGCGGTAGATTTGTCCCGCCAACTATTGCAGAAAAGTATAAGCTTTGCCTTCCCCAATATTCTGGCACATCTATGTGTGTTCGAATTGGAAAACCTCCACAAGTTGACATATCAGCTCTCCGAGAGAATTATATATCTCCAGAGTTCCTTGAGGAGCAGGTGGAGGCTGATCCTCTGGATCAGGTACAGATTCAAGACAAACATGTCCCACTGAATTTGTCACTTATTGTCTATTGGTGGTAAAAAATATTAAACTTTGACCATAACTATCTTAAATATTTTAAATAGTTAATTTTATAAAATACATATTTAAAAACTACTTGGTTGAAAGTTCTTAAAATATATTTTCTCAAATTTTTATCGATAATAAATTTTGAATAATAAGAAGTCAAAGTTAAACAAATTTGACCACCAAAAGCCAATATGTGACAAATTTAGTGGCAGAGGGAGTATTTACTAAGTTAGTTTATTTGAAAAGCCTTTTGTTTTCATTTGTATTTTCTCATAATAATAGTATTTATTTATTTCAAAATGTAAACTTCACTTGTCTTACAGTTTCACAAATGGTTTGATGATGCGGTGGCTGCCGGCCTAAAGGAACCAAATGCCATGGCATTGACAACCACCGGAAAAGATGGAAAACCGTATGCTTCTGGTTTTTTTTCTATGGTTCTGCTTTATTCATGCGCATTTTGTTTTCCGTTTTCTTTTCACGAATCTTAATTCCTTGAAGGTATAAAACATGCCAATTTGGATTCTTGATGCTATTGTAAGGGTAAATGTTATTAAGAAATAAGCACATATATTTTTAGACTCACTCTTATCTAATGGAGGCACTCATTTCCACTTCAGGCATTAGTCCACAATAGGAGCATTGCAGGCTTCTGCTCCCAATGGGATCCTCAAGGAAATCTGGGAACTTATTCAATAAAAAGTGCCTAAACATTTTGAAAAATTTTGCTTTTTCTTCTACTAAATATGATATTCTTGCTTATTATTTGAAGTAATTATTGGAATAATCCTTATAGTTTTAATTTTTATTAGCCAAACCCGTATTTTAAATATTAATGTGAATTTCATGCAGTGTCTCTTACAAAAGTATCACATATGAAACTGCCCAAATAGTGGAAAAATGAACCAAGATAGTAATT